AGAACATATTGCCAGATGTTCAGGAGATCTGCATTATAAAAAGATTCAAAAAAAGAATGAGGCAAATCAATAAATAAGGAGACTGGATGCAACTTCCAGACCAGGATGTTTGCTGGAACGATAGGACACTGGGAAGGATCATTGTACACTTAGTTCCGTTTTTTTCATATCCCTAAGCAGTAGAGGTCTTTTGGGAAAGGAATAGTTGAATACTTTGGTCTGACCTAATATGACCATTCCTTTGAGTGCCTACTTCATATGCTCAAAAACTAAGTGAAAATTAGGTCCTGCATTTATGTCAATGCTGCCTTTGTTCCAGAACAGAGAGTGCCAGTTTCTCATATGCTATAAGCTAACACAGATCATTTAAAGCAGTACACACCAAGGCTTCTCAAGATTGTGCATGAAAAATAGCCCTCCAAGTTTAGATTTCACAAGGTGTTTTTTGTCTCTCGGTACCTCCTTAAAACAAAAATCTGTAGCATGTATGTGATGCTACACTTTTACTGAGTGGCAGGCTGCGTTCTCACTGAGTTCAGTGTGAACAGTGAGAACTTACTGTGACTTAAACCAGTCTGCACCTGAGAATAAAATCAGTTTATTGAAAAGACTAAGCTGGGCTATGAGAACAGACACGAGAGAGTCATGAAATCCACACTTATCTTACAGATCTTACAGAATCTCTGGGATGGGGACTCCAGAAATTACTGAGTATGGATCCTAATTGCATGGAGCATGGCAGAGTTGAGCAGGAGAAAGAATTTGGTGGAGGGTGTTCCTAAAAGGACTGAATACTGATCCTTAGAATTTCATCCTTATTATCAAAAAATGTAGTTAGCAGTAGAAGCAGTGTCTTCTTTTCAACAGAAGATAGATACAAGGTCACAGTTGGAAACGAAAGCTGAAATGAAAATTTGATTTTATTTAGCTAATTGACATTATAAAGTTTGTTTCACTCATATAATGGTATCTTCTTTTAAATGGATATTGTCAATTAATTTTTATTTTGTAATTCTTGCATTGCCAGCTCCCAGGACAGTCCTGTCAAACGCCACTCTGATGCTGTCTTCACTGACAACTACAGCCGCTTTCGAAAGCAAATGGCTGTGAAGAAATACTTAAATTCAGTTTTAACTGGAAAAAGAAGGTACTACAAGAAAGCAAATATATGTTGTTTCCATACTTGTATGGTATTAAGACAGAAAAGATTTATGCCCATGTGTATATAAGGAGAGGACAAACAAAAAGCAATGAACATTAATGACTTTGTAACATAATTGATAACATGGTTTTCAAATACAGACAGCATTTTCTTCTAGACTGGAACAGACACTACAATCAGATTAGAATAAAAGAATAAAGAGGAGACAGCATCTGGCAATTTTAAAAAGCTTCTGACAGATTCTTAAATGGTTTTATTTATAAAAAAGGCTCTTAAAAAATCCACTCAGCTACGGAACATGAACAACAGTTTTATCAAGAAAATTAAGTATTTGTTGTAAAGTTGTCTGCCAGTAAATGCATAAAATGCAAATTTAGAAGTCCCAGAAAAAGCATATGTCCTAATGTATAGGTGGAACATGTCAGCCTATGTTTTTGTAGACCATATATTCTGTTCGTATATTCACTCATTTAGACAACTGCTTTTAAACATCACAACTCATCACCCATTAAACATGCTATTTCATGTGATTTATAACACTTTGGTACAAGTATAACAAAATGTGCAATAGCTACAGCTAGAAGACGGTTTTGCGTGCTTGTTTGCTTTTTCTTCTGAGAGCAATAAATCTTGTTTCTGACCCACAACAGCCAAGAAGAGCTAAACCCTTCTAAACTTCGAGATGAAGCAGAACTTCTTGAACCTTCCTTTTCAGAAAATTACGATTCTGTAGATGAGCTGCTGAGCCACCTCCCACTGGTATGCCCAGATTTTCTTTCCTCTTGCTGTCTGTTACTTGACTGACCCATAAAATGAGATTATTCATACATGAAATGTGGCCTATCAGACAAGTGGAATCATCTAGGAAAGAGCCATGTTCCATGAAATGCTGCATGTTTCTATAGCGATTGTTTCTGAATATAATAATCATTTTAATAACAATAATTAAGTTATCCCATGATTGCTGTTATTGAAAATTCCTAATTAAATGGCACTGTTAATAATGCACCTAACTCACTTGGGTGCTTCAACTTGTGTGCACTGTAGCATAAAACCAGAATTGACTCATTTTTAATTACAAAGATTATTATTTCTTCAGAGAACAAATTCAAGGATATTTCTTTTAATTAAAAAAAAAAGGCTTCACTTTTTTTTTGTTTTATTTTTTTTTTTAAACATCTATTTCATGGAAAGGAGTTACCCCTAAAACTAAGAGGATCAGCAACATGAACCCTAAGCATTAAGAAAGCACTTGACTCATATCTTAGGTGTGCTGCAGAGGGATTGTCTGACAAGCATATATTGCAGTTGCTGTTTTCCATTTAGCTACTACTATTTTTCTAAATGTCGTTCACAAATATGTTACTTTGGTTTACCAAAATGTAAACCCTTGTATGTCACAGCACTTGCAGTGACATAAAACTGAAAGGGTAATGTGGAAGTGAATCGAGCTTAGTATTCTCAAAAGCATATTATGAAATTGATGATAGGATGGTTTTTGGCATTCAGCTATGTCTCAGCTACAAGTAAGAAAAAAGGCTACTCTTGAAGATAGCATATGGGGAAGAGGGAAGATAAAAGAAAAGATATTTCTCCAAACTGTTTCCTTTCAACACTGAAAGGAAATGTTCTTTTCGTTTCCACAAATGTGGCAGTTCCTCTAAAGTTCCCAAAGATTAGAAAGAACATGAACTGCTTATACCTTAAGGAACAAACTAATTTGTAAGTGATGGGATTCTGGAAAGAAATGTACTTTCTAGACAAGATTATTGCAAAATACTTGCTTCTGGTATTGCACCTTCTAAAACTTCTGGCACTGATCAAATGAGAGAGTGCAGCGGTGCAGTGTGTCTCAGGTATCTTCCTGGGAATATTTTCAGTCTTTTCCTTTTTTATGGACTGTAGTGATGATCCAGATCTCCCTGGAGGTAAATCACTTACTCAGTATTGACAGTTACGGGTCATTTTATCCCAGTGTCCTCTCACCAATGTGGTGTGTGTATCCAGCAACCTGAATTTGAGTATTCATTTCAAGGATACAATTATTTTCAAACTGAGCTATTCTGTGCTGTAGGAACATTTTTGCCTAATCCTTCAGCATTTCTTCCTCATCCTGCAGCCTTGTCTGCTGGCTGTAATGCCTACCAAGCTCCAGCGAATAGCTCCATCTCATGCCTGTTAGTCCCAAGTGCAGTAAACGTTTAGGATTAAGTGTTACTTCTTCTCCTCTATCTGCTTTTATTCTTCTAACGATGCAACTTCTTACAAAATGATTTTTAAAACATACTTCTCCTTTGCTTTTCAGGACCTCTGAAGGACACCTGGTAAAGTCTATGACAAGAACAAGCTATTTTTGAGTTCCACATAGTATTTCAAAGAGATGACTTTAGTCATCAAAACAGAACAAATATGTTGTGAAGTGAAAGTTGTGATATATTTGTTTCTTATGTAATAAAAGTTGATATTTACATTGTAAATACTACTCTAGAGTTCTCTACTGAAAGCTGTACATATGGATGCCAGTTTAACTCATGAGAAGTCTGTGAGTCCATATGCTGTAAATCCTCTACTTCAATAAATTCATTTGAAAATGAGTGTGCAGCTGAAATGAGTCCATCATTACTAATTACATGTCTTATTTTAGGTGTGGTACAACTTGATATAAGCCCGTATGATGATAGGGATACATTTCCAGATAGCTTCATAAACAAGTGTAAAAACATGGCAAAAAGAATAGGCAAAGTGTGTAAAATGGCATTACAAAGATCTCTGAAAGTCATTGCCAAGCAAAAGTGAATGCTTATCTAGCAGCTTACAATGCAACTTGAGAATATGAAAAAGCATTACAAATAATTTGACTTCCAACATCATCTTTCCCCCCATCTACATTTTTGATATTTTACTATATGCCAATTACATTAAGACCAGAAACGTATCCCTCCTTTTCAGTTGTGCTGTGGATGCTCTGGAGCTGAGGAAGCACACAAAAAATGCTGTCCCTTGATTTGTCTGATGCCTAAAGTCACTAGTTATTCTACATTTAGTTATCTGTAGCTTTGATAATGAAACTATTCCATCTATATAAAATAGATCTGAAGACACTTTACAATTTTTTTCAGAATGAACGTCATTTACAGAATGTGCAGACAAAAATCCATTTTATTATCATGTCAAACTATTATTGGTTTGAATCAGTGCTACAGGTATCTGGAGCAGCAGAGGTCCCACTAAGTGCTGTGTCTACTATAGTAGTAGAAGAAGGTAATATTTTTTAACTGTGGTATTCTGTGTTATATTAGAAAGACAAGCAAGAAAGCCTTCAGTACCTTTTTAGCTTTATATCATTTCAGCTAAGTATGCAACGGGAAATTTGCAGCTCGTTCACTATTGCTGTGAGTCAGAATCTGGTTGTATTTTATAAAAATTGTATATTTAACCAATTGGATCATTTTCTAAAGAATTACTTACTGTTTTAAAGACCGATAGTTCAATTGCAGTAAGGAAAGTGTGCACATAGAACATATGAAATGCATATTCATTCATGATACCAGCCATAATACTCCCATGACTCTCCTCCTACCTCCTAGAAAGAGATGAAATTTGAAGTAGAAAAACTTATCAGACCTACTTACAAGTTCAATTTGGAATTTCAAGTATATTTATACGTCATACATATACACACATAGACAGTGATAAAACTGATTTACAAGTTTCACTTACAAGTTTACTGTTCTCATTTAGAAGGAAGCTTCAAACATGATAAAATTTGAGATTTATGGAGACTAGTTCTCATAAATATGTAGCCTTCTGATCTGCATTTTTTTCTTTTTTTGAATATTGGTAACTGCATGCCAAAAGAAAACCATCTTATACAGATCAGATGCTATAATTGCTATTTCTATCTTGTTTTGGCAGAATTTATTTAGCCTAAACTAATGAATGGTCACAAAATTTAGATGTAATTTTGAAGTCTTCTCTTGAGAAGTGGTCTTCCAATGGTGGTCCACTCTCAATTCCTATCTTATGAAAATTTGAGTGCAAAAGTGGCTTTGGAAACATTTGAAGGATGCTTACAGACTGATGTTGCACTACTTAATCATAAATTTTCCTCAGTGTATTTGGAACTTTGTAATGATTTCTGGGATAAGTAATCTTTAAAAAAAAATAAGTGAAAACAATTAACCAGAAACAAAGCTGCACACTGTCTTCATACACAGAATTTTTTGTTTAGATGTACATAATCATTCACTCAATTGAAAGTAACAAAAATTGGACTTATCAGACTTTGGACTCCACAATTCCAGATTTTTTTTCCCCTAAATTTGCCTTTCTGTTAATTTATTTCCAGTTTACCAGTAAGACACCTGATGGAAGAACTCATCTCACATGTTTAATGTTTATTCTCCCCAATATTTTGATCTCCACAGAAAACTGAAGAACCTTAAAACATGTATTTTCTGTTACAATGGAGATGGAGTGTGGTGCTCAAAAAAATGGATGTTTATTAGGAGATCATATATATACATTATAAAATAAATATTTAATACCTTCATTGTAATAACTAAAATACTACTTTGGTAGCTTCCTCAGAGGGTGAGTAAGTACAGTCTAAAAGGCATGCTAAATTTTATGTACATTTTAGAAAACTGTAGTACTGAAAGTAGATACTAACCTCCAGAATAACATACGTGACAGTATTTGTGTTAAAGGATGGCTTTTAACTTATCAGGGCAACTTTTGACATTCTGTAGGAGACATAAGTCCCAGTTAATAAACTGAGTCTAATTAATTGTGGAAGACGAAACGTTCTTCACCTCAGCTCCACAGGCAAGTGTTTATGGCAAGGTTAAATTATAAATTTGAAGAGAAAATTGAAATGTTCACCCAGTGAGACAAATTTTCAGTCTGTCAATGAGTCTTGAGATGTCACCAATCTTACAATCCATCTGTAAAATGTCATAAGAGTAGAATCAGTGTTGTATTAATTAGGAGAATGAAAGGGGCAGACCCAAAGTGAATGGCAAGAGGACTGCTAGGAGACAAAAAATACCTGTGAGATGTAGAAGAGCATTGCTGGCAGGGAGAATACAACCACTCAGAAGGAAGGAACTGTGGAGGGTTGTTATGGTATATGTTAAAAAAAAATCTCACCGTGTTTCTCCAGAATTTTACTTCTAAGAGAGAGTAGGGATACCTGCCATCTTAGGGGATAGAACCCATTATTTTTTTGTTTTATTGAATGGGGTTTGCTTTTCAGGCCTACCACATACAGCTCTTAAAGTAAGGGTCAGAACCACCCCTAAGTGCATCTTTACCAGCACTGGAAGAGGATATTTTCTGGTCTTGAATTCACAGAGAGGATTTGCATGCTTTTGTGAATCTGTACAATCATTACCCACTCAAGAACAACCCTTAGGATTGTGTATAAAACCATGAGAAATACAAAAGTTGACAAAACATTTTAAAATTATAGCCACTAAAAATATAGTAAAAATTAATAAAACCCTAACAGCTCCTCTGATTTTTTAAATGGCTTTGATGGGCTATGAGTATTTGTTCCACCTGAAAGTTTGAGATAAACTTTCTGTTTAAAAACATGAAAATTAACTGGGATCCAAAGCATAGTTATAACACAATGTATAAGAATATTGAACTCTTCCCAAAGACAGACCTTTTGGGAAGACATGTTTGTATACATGAACCATTTATTTGCTTGCAAGGTACTAGGGAAAGGTAGCTAGAAAAGGCTGTCCATTGCCTTTTGTGATACTACCTATGCTTTCCATTACTTCTTTTATTTTTCCTTGTTTTTTCTCTCCTTCATCCACTTACCACAAGCTTACCCACTCTTTGTTAATACTCTCACCCTTGGCTTGCAGAGGTAGTATATGAATGTATTACCTATGTTCTTGAGAGGAACAATTGAAGTAGACCTTAAATTTATGGTGCAGCAATCTAATAACTGCCAGCCTTGGTTATGGAAATGAATATTGCAGAGAACCTGGTACAACCAGATTTGCAGAAGCAACCTGTCCTGCTTGCATACAGACCCTGACTTCCCAGTGGAAGTTTCCCATTTGGTTTGTGACTGGCACAGAGGGCTGACCTTTCTTTGGACACACCAAACAGAACTGTGTCAAGTTCTTGCACCATCAGCTTTTTGATGGAGAAGAAATAATTTATATGGAGCTGGGGTGGCTTTTAGTTGTTTGCTTATTTTATGTATTACTGAGCTGCTTTTTACTGGAAGTGGTCACAAGTATGTTTGACAGATGCCTTATCACCATTCGTTGTTATTCTAACACAGCTCTTCATGTTTGTCTTTCAGCCAGTCCTTCTTCCCATAATCACAGCTAGAACATCTGCACACTGTTTTAAGCAACCAATTTTGCCCCTTATTAGGGAGCATAGAAAGCAAACTGCTGCATTCTAGGAAGACTCTTCGTGACAAAGCTAAGGATATATAATTTATGCAGAAAGACTGAGTCTTGGATAAAAAGCAGGAAGAGTTTAAAAAATTCTAAGTTTGACACCAATGGTTTCAGTCCTGTCTAGTGATTCCCTCCAGAGCAGTGCATTTTGCTTGGCATTACAAAGCTCGTGCCAGAGCTCTGATCTTGAGAAGTGAAACATGTAGTGAAAAAGAAGAAACTGGTAAATGTTGAGATAAAGCAGGTGAAGACTGTGCCTTCCAAAAAAAGTACCTGGTGTAAAACCTAGTTTATATATGTTTTTTTGTTCTTCATAGATCAAAGACTCCTGCTTTGAGAAGAAAGGAGTCATCTCTTACTGTAAAGATGACCTCACATCATGCAAGTCCATTCATTAACTTAACAAATTCCATCATGAGCAGAGCTGGGTTCTTTATCCCCTAATTCTGGTGCTGCATGGCAGCTTCTGGATCTAGTGGCTGTATTTATTTAGAACCTTATTGTAACTGGCAGCCAGTCACTGTCAGCTGTGTGACGGACACTTTGCCAACCTTTTGTTACCATCCCAGTGTCCTCATTGTAAGAATACCATTACTCTTCCTAGGAAGTTGCATTCCTAGGTCTATTTATAGACTGCATTTCTCTCCCAGCCTTTGCTTTGTAAGGCTAAAGAAACAAACTGTCTTGTCTCTTATTGGAAATGAATTTCCATTTCCAAGACCATGCTGGAGCCCCATGCCCAGAGGAGTCAGGTTCCAGAGTGAGTTTAACACTTCTAAATTACAGTTTACCATATGCAGCTTTAAAATTACTAAATGACTCTGAACTTCTTTATAGCAATTGTTTCGGAAAAGTGATCAGTGATTTTGAGGGCCTCTGTTTTCAGGGCATTGGAAAAGCTGTTTTTTCAGTCCGGATAATTTTTTTTCTGTTGCTTCTCAAACATTTCTGAGTTTACAAAAGCTGAGGAAGTAAGAGTCACCAAGCATTTGAAATATGATACTGTTTCTGAGGGGGGTGGAGGGGGAGCCACTCAGTCTTATCTAAAATGCATGTAAAGGAAAACTGGATTCTTAAACAGGCAGATGCCTAGGTTAATAGGTAGTTTCACCTAGTTCACGGGATGCATCCTTTTACATGGCTATAGGCTGTAT